AAGGTATGTTTATACTACACTGTAGTCTATTAAGTGTGCAATAGCATTATGTCTAAAAAAATGATGTACACACCTTAATTAAAAATACTGTATTGCTAAAAAATGCTAGCCATCATCTGAGCCTTCAGCATGTCACAATCTTTTTGTAACAGCAACATCAAAGATCATTGATCATGGATCACCATAATAAATACAATAATAACAAAAAAGTTTGAAATATTGTGAGAATTATCAAAATGTAACACAGAGACATGAAGTGAGCAAATGCTTTTGGAAAAACGGCACTAATGCACAGGGTCCCCACAAAACTTCAATTTGTAAAAAACACAGTATCTGTAAAGCACCATAAAGCAAAGTGAAATTAAACAAGGTATGTCTGTAAACAACAACAACAAACAACAACAACAAAAAACCCAAGAGTGTGTTGGGGTTGGTGGGAGGAGGATGGTTTCAAAAGACAATGAGAGACAAGATTTTTAAAGGCATGAATAGCCAGTGGCACCTTTTGAAAGGTCAGTTAGTCACAGGGACGGATATGTCAACAAGAATGTATCAGCAAGGTCATTAGTGACCTTGAGGAGAGTTGTTTCCGTGAGCTAATGGTAGGAACCAGAAGATGAAGGTGGCCAGTGTCATCAACTCTTCTGAGAAATTTGGCTGTGATGGAGAGACAGGGTGCCAGCTAAACAGATTTATAAGGTTAGGCTATTAATTTTTAGAGGCTATTTTTTAAGATGAAAGGGATTTGAACATGGAAGGGGGGGAAACAGTGAAGCAGGGGTTTGATCATATAGGTAGGAGAGACAGATCAATGTAATGAGGAACAAAAATTATAACGCTAAAAGATTGATTCAGTCCTGATTAAAATGAAAAGAAATGACAGGTTCTGATGGCATTTGAAAAGAAGATTTCAGAGGAAATAATCTTGTTGACACAGGTTGGTCATTCAAAACACTATATTGATGGTTTCCCTTCTCAATAAGAGAAGGAAAAGACGATCAGAGAACACTTACATCCAATGACCAAGGAGCATGAAATCAGCTAGAAAAAGTTTTATTTAAGCTCAGAACTTTATCTGCTATGTCTTACTATCATGAATTACAGCTTCTCTCTTTAATCTTGTTTTATCAAAAAGGGAGCAAGAGGCTTTCAAAGGTATTTCACTTTTTTTTTTTTTTTTTTTTTTTTTTTTTTTTTTTTTTTTTTTTTTTGGTATTTCACTTTTAACTCCAAAATTTTGTTTGATCTCCCAGATCTTAACCCTCTTATTGCAAGACTAATGTATTTCATACATAAAATGATACTTGTTTTAAGAAATTGCTTTTTTTGGGGGGGTATAAATTGGGAGATTGGGATTGACATATATACACTAATACATATAAAATAGGTAACTAATTAAAAAAATCCAATTTAAAAATTTGAAAAAAAATTCTTAACCACAATTATTTTCATTTTTATAAATCCCTCTATCTTTTGTCCCAAGCTTCCATATTTTTATATTACTGTATTTGTGATATGCATTTAATTTTAATTGTTTTTTCTTTTTAAAATTATAACATCATAATTTTCCAAGTTTTTATGTAGTTTATATAATATAATTTCATAATACTTATTTTACCTTCTTATAATTCAATTATGTTTCCTGCCCAACCTTTCTAGTAGTGAATTTTATAAGTTTACTACCAACTCAATGAAGTAAAAATTCATTTTATTTGTTGCTCAATCATTAAAAAAATTGCTTTTTTATTCTTTAGCTGTAACATATGGTTATTTTAGAAAATTAAATATGCTCATTTAAGCTCTAGTTGAACTCACCAACCTTATGTTAATTATATAGAGAGAATTACACGTAGATATAGTTCTAGATGTAGATGTAGAAATACATATAGACATAAACACAGACTTACAGAGTCATAGGTATAGATATACATATAAATATAGATAACAGTGTGATATCATGGGTTCTTCTGTTGATAAAAAAGCTTAAGACCCTTTGGGTACAGCTTATATCATGCCTGTAATAGATTTTAATCCAAACACAACTAAGTTTGGTTCTTCCACACTATGTAAGTCAAGAAAGGAACAACTGAGGGATGGATGGGATGCTCCATGGTATCAAAGATCATGGAGAGGTCAAGGGGGAACAAAGTTCAGGAAAATGACCCATTCCTGTAATGATTGGCAATGGGTGTGTAGGAGAAAATGAAATCTCTGGGAAAGATTAGGTGATGGAAAAAATGAAGGTTCACAAAACGAAGAACAGAAATGAGAGTGAGAGTGTTGGTATTAAGGGGAAATTCTTTTGCATAAGATAGGAGGGGAGAGGAAGGGAGAAGTAGACCAGTGAATAAGCAAAGGTTGAAGGGAAATAAGCTTAGCATTGAGCTATTAGTGAGTATTAAAAATCGTAGTCGTTCATGATTATCTGTTTTTGACCTATTTTCATTTTCTTTTTGTTCTTCTGGGAACAAAGATCTCTCTTTGAAGACTGTGCTTCCTTTCATCATTTAATAATTGCTTGTATTTTTCAGTTTTTACTAAAAAGGCTATTTCTCAGCCCTGAGAATGCACTGACATTAAAGGTGAGAAACAGAAATTGTACTTTGAGCTCTTCCAAAGAAAAGCACTTTAGAAATCAAAGGCATTGCTATAGTGTTATTATTCTCTCCTTCCCCTGAAAGCTTGGCATGACATTAGCTCTGATCCTTGAAGAGAAGTCTTTCAGTCTAGCCATTATATTAATAATCTGTGACTCTGAGAAAGGAATGGATATCTAAATTCACCGACCTTATCCAATAATCTTCCCTCTCCCTTAGTTCCGGTGCTAGGGATCTGATCCAAGAATCAGAAATAGGAGCATTGTAACTTATTTTATCTTCCATGTAAATCACATCCAGCTATGAATAAATCGGAAGGGCATATAGCCAAGCACTATCAGTTCTGTGCAAACAGAGATCCACAGCTGAATGGGCATTGAACACATGAGATGTTAGCTCATGAATAATCCTTTTGTATCTTTACAAAGTTATATAAACAGTTGCTTATTATGATGATGATTTACATTAATAATGGAATAATAAATAGAAGATAAAAATAACAAGTTATTTTGGAAATAAGTGATAAATATTTCTTGGAAATAAGTGATAAATATTTCTGAGTGTCAGTTACTGTCTATCAAGAAAAAACTGGATGGATCTTAAAGTATTATCTTACAATAGTAACTAGCAAAACCCATAGTTAATATTTTCCCACTTAGGTAGCTCCATGAAAGGTATCACTCATGGAGAAATAGCTAAACACAGCCTGAGGAGAAAGGAGGTTTTAAACTAGAAATATAATCCACATTTGGCAATTCATATAATTGTAAATCACCCATAGATGAACAGGTTTTAAAAGAAAATATTTTAAAAGGTGAATGTAATTCCAAGTTGTGATTGTTCAACATGTTCAATAATGTTATATATATGTTATACACATATAATAAATACATATGTACACACACATACATGCAGATGCAGCCAGAAGTATGAACAAGACAACTTGAGCTCTTTGTGTCTATTAGTCAACTAAAATTTATTTATGTCCTTACAGATTCAACTTAAATTTTAAGACATTTATTTCCAAATATTCCTATTATTTGGAATACTCCTATTCCAAATATTCCTATTATTTGGAAATAAAAGAGACATTAAAAGCCTGTGCAACAGATGAAAACTTCTGGAAATAAAACAATATCGTATGAAACAAGCACACTGTTTCATAACTCTTTTCCAATTGTTGAACTGGGACAATAAAGCCCATTTAAACATGGAAATATTTGGTGAAGATACTCTAGGGGTTGATGACATGAAAACAATTTTGGATACCCTAAAGCAAAACCAGCTTGGAGACCTATTTTCCTTCGAGTGTTTGTGATGACATAGATTATGGGAGTCCTACACTTGTGTCTACTTCTTTGAAGGCTCAAACACAGGCTATGTGTTTTGTTCACTGATATCTCCCAAGATCCTAGAACAATATCTGGCATACAGTAATCACTTATTAAATATTTATTAAGTTAAATAGTTGTTGACATTCCCAGCATGGAAATTGTAGAACAAGGTGTCCTCCTCATGCTCTGTAATTTTACCTGTAACTATTGCTCTCAACAACAACAAAAAAGTAAAAAAAAGCAAAACAAAACAAAAACAAACAAACAAAAATCCCCCACTTATCTGTCACTTAAAGTTTACGAAGAACTTGCCATACCTATTCCCATCCAGATATCTGGGCTTGTCATAGCCAAAAATCGCTGTGCACCACCTAGTGTTTGTTCTCTCCTCTGCTACCCTTATGGATTGAATTATGTCCTCTCCAAATTCATGTGTTGGAGCCCTAACCCTCAGTGCCTCAGAATGTGACCTAATTTGGAAATAGGGTCATTGCAGACGTAAGTAGTTAAGTCAGGATGAGATCATACCAGAGGTGGTTGGGCCCCATATCCGATATGACTGGTGTCGTAAGAAAGGGAAATTTGGACACAGACACGCACACAGGGAGAACACCATGTAAAGATGAAGGCAGAGATTGGGATGGTGCTTACACAAACTAGGGAACGCCAGAGATTGCTAGGAAAACACCAGAAGCCAGGAGAAAGGGTGGAACAGATCCCCTCTCACAACCCTCAGAAGGAACCCTGCTGACACCTTGATCTTGGACTTCTAGCCTCCAGAACTGTAAGACAATAAATTTCTTTTAAGCTACCCACTTTATGGTACTTTGTTAAAGCAACCCTTAGCAAACTAAAAATACAGGCACTTACTCCTCAAAGCTTGTCAGATTTCCTACCAGGGCCACTTGTATCCTGACCTCATTTTCACTGGGCACTGTCTTATTCAGTTCTCAGAGTTCACAAAATTGCCCCCAGTTTATTCCAAAGCATCCACAATTATACGTTGTCAATATCTAACGGATTCTTCCATCACATGACATCTCAATTACCTTTGACACCTTTCACTTACCTTGTGCTCGCTCCTGTGCTTGGGGCGGCCTTATAACCTGGAGGGGGCGGTGGAAACCAGGACTGTCTGTTAAGAAATGGCATCAATTATAAACGTGGAAAGGCTTGACCCCACCCACATGTCTACCAGGAAAAGCTGAAAATAAATTGACAGTTAAAAAGGCAATAAGATGACTTTCCTACAAGGTCTTGGAAATAAAATGAAAACTACTTACTTCCTGCCATAGGAAGTAACTGTCTATATTCCAGGCTATTTGGAATATAGTAAACCCCTTTTCCCATTTCCAAGTAAAACCCTTTTCCCATTTCCTTTGACACTAAACAATGTAGACATTTCTTTAAAAAGAAATCTGGGGGAGGGGCTTCAAGATGGTGGAAGAGTAAGACACGGAGATCACCTTCCTCCCCACAACTACATCAGAAATACATCTACACGTGGAACAACTCCTACAGAACACCTACTGAATGCTGGCAGAAGACCTCAGGCCTCCCAAAAGGCAAGAAAGTCCCCACATACCTGGGTAGGGCAAAAGAGAAAGGAAAAAACAGAGACAAAATAATAGGGACGGGACCTGCACCAGTGGGAGGGAGCTGTGAAGGAGGAAAGGTTTCCACACCCTAGGAGCCCCTTCACTGGCAGAGATGGGGGGTGGCAGAAGGGGGAGGCTTCGGATCTGTGGAGGAGAGCGCAGCAACAGGGGTGTGGAGGGCAAAGTGGAGAGATTCCCACACAGAGGATCAGTGCCAACCAGCACTCACCAGCCCAAGAGGCTTATATGCTCACCCACCAGGGCGGGCGGGGCTGGGATCTGAGGCTCGGGCTTCTGTCGGATCCCAGGGAGAGGACTGGGGTTGGCTGCGTGATCACAGCCTGCAGGGGGTTAGTGAGCCACGGCTAGCCGGGAGGGAGTCCGGGAAAAAGTCTGGAGCTGCCGAAGAGGCAAGAGACTTTTTCTTGCCTCTTCAGTTCCTGGTGCGCGAGGAAAGGGGATTCAGAGTGCCGCTTAAAGGAGCTCCAGAGACGGGCGTAAGCCGCGGCTAAAAGCGTGGACCCCAGAGACGGGCATGAGACTCTAAGGCTGCTGCTGCCATCACCAAGAAGCCTGTGTGCGAGCATAGGTCACTATCCACACCTGCCCTTCCGGGAGCTTGTGCAGCCCGCCACTGCCAGCGTCCCGTGATCCAGGGACAACTTCCCTGGGAGAACACACGGTGTGCCTCGGGCTGGTGCGATGTCACACCGGCCTCTGCCACGCAGGCTCTCCCCGTATTCGGTACCTCTCCCTCCCCCCACGGCCTGAGTGAGCCAGAGCCCCCTAATCAGATGCTTCCTTAACCCCATCCTCTCTGAGTGAGGAGCAGGCACCCTCAGGCGACCTACACGCAGGGGCGGGCTGAAATCCAAAGCTGAACCCCAGGAGCTGTGCAAACAAAGAAGAGAAAGGGAGATCCCTCCCAGAAGCCTAAGGAGCAGCAGATTAAAGCTCCACAATCAACTTGATGTACCTTGCAACTGTGGAATACATGAATAGACAACGAATCATCCCAAATTGAAGACGTTGACTTTGGGAACAACGATATATATACATTTTTTCCCTTTTTCTCTTTTTCCCTGTGGATGACAGGGTCTTGGTGCTCTGACTGGGCGTCAGGTCTGTGCCTCTGAGGTGGGAGAGCCAAGTTCAGGACACTGGTCCACCAGAGACCCCCCAGCTCCATGTAATATCAAAAAGCAAAAATCTCCCAGAAAACTCCATCTCAACACCAAGACCCAGCTCCACTCAACCACCAGCAAGCTCCAGTGCTGGACACCCATTGCCAAACAACTAGCAAGACAGGAACACAACCCCATCCATTAGTACAGAGGCTGCCTAAAATCATAATAAGGTCACAGACACCCCAAAACACAACACCAGATGCGGACCTGCCCACCAGAAAGACAAGATCCAGCCACATCCACCAGAACACAGGCACTAGTCCGCTCCAACAGGAAACGTACACAACCCACTGAACCAACCTTAGCCACTTGGAGCAGACATGAAAAACAATGGGAACTACGAACCTGTAGCCTGCGAAAAGGAGACCCCAAACACAGTAAGTTAAGCAAAATGAGAAGACAGAGAAGCACACAGCAGATGAAGGAGTAAGGTAAAAACCCACCACACAAAACAAATGAACAGGAAATAGGCAGTCCAATTGAAAAAGAATTCAGAATAATTATAGTAAAGATGATCCAAAATCTTGGAAATAGAATGGAGAAATTACAAGAAACGTTTAACAAGGGCCTAGAAGAACCAAAGAGCAAACAAACAATGATGAACAACATAATAAATGAAATTAAAAATTCTCTAGAAGGAATCAATAAAAGAATAACAGAGGCAGAAGAACGGATAAGTGACCTGGAAGATAAAATAGTGGAAATAACTACTGCAGAGCAGAACCAAGAAAAAAGAATGAAAAGAATTGAGGACAGTCTCAGAGACCTCTGGGACAACATTAAATGCACCAACATTTGAATTATAGGGGTCCCAGAGAAGAAGAGAAAAAGAAAGGGACTGAGAAAATATTTAAAGACATTATAGTTGAAAACTTCCTTAATATGGGAAAGGAAAGGGTTAATCAAGTCCAGGAAGTGCAGAGAATCCCATACAGGATAAATCCAAGGAGAAACATGCCAAGACACATATTAATCAAATTATCAAAAATTAAATACAAAGAAAAAATATTAAAAGCAGCAAGGGAAAAACAACAAATAACACACAAGAGAATCCCCATAAGGTTAACAGCTGATCTTTCAGCTGCAAGCCAGAAGGGTGTGGCAGGACATATTTAAAGTGATGAAAGGGAAAAACCAAGATTACCCTACACAGCAAGCTCTCATTCAGATTCGATGGAGAAATTAAAACCTTTACAGACAAGCAAAAGCTAAGAGAATTCAGCACCACCAAACCAGCTTTACAACAAAAGCTAAAGGAACTTCTCTAGGCAGGAAACAAAAGAGAAGGAAAATTTTTACCTACAATAAAAACCAAAAACAATTAAGAAAATGTTTATAGGAACACACATATCGATAATTACCTTAAATGTAAATGGTTTAAATGCTCCAACCAAAAGACATAGACTGGCTGAATGGATACAATAACAAGACCGGTATATATGCTGTCTACAAGGAACCCACTTCAAACTTAGGGATACATACAGACTGAAAGTGAGGGAATGGAAAAAGATATTCCATGCAAATGGAAATCAAAAGAAAGCTGAGTAGCAGTTCTCATAGCAGACAAAATAGACTTTAAAATAAAGACTATTACAAGAGACAAAGAAGAACACTACATAATGATCAAGGGATCAATCCAAGAAGAAGATATAACAATTGTAAATATTTATGCACCCAACATATGAGCACCTCAATACATAAGGCAAATGCTAACAGCCACAAAAGGAGAAATCGACAGTAACACAATCATAGTAGGGGACTTAACATCCCACTTTCACCAATGGACAGATCATCCAAAATGAAAATAAATAAGGAAACACAAGCTTTAAATGATACATTAAACAAGATGGACTTAATTGTTATTTATAGGACATTCCATCCAAAAACAACAGAATACAGTTTCTTCTCAAGTGCTCATGGAACATTCTCCAGGATAGATCAAACTTGGGTCACAAATCAAGCCTTGGTAGATTTAAGAAAACTGAAATCGTATCAATTATCTTTTCCAACCACAAAGCTATGGGACTAGATATCAATTACAGGAACAAATTTGTAAAACATACAAACACATGGAGGGTAAACAATACACTATTAAATAACCAAGAGATCACTAAAGAAATCAACGAGGATACCAGAAAATATCTAGAAACAAATGACAATGAAAACACAGCAACCCAAAACCTATAGGATGCAGCAAAAGCAGTTCTAAGAAGGGAGTTTATAGCAATACAATCCTACCTTAAGAAACAAGAAACATCTCAAATAAACAACCTAACCATACACTTAAACCAATTAGAGAAAGAAGAACAAAAAAACCCCAAAGTTAGCAGAAGGAAAGAAGTCATAAAGATCAGATGAGAAATAAATGAAAAAGAAATGAGGGAAACAGTAGCAAAGATCAATAAAACTAAAAGCTGGTTCTTTGAGAAGATAAACAAAATTGATAACCTATTAGCCAGACTCATCAAGAAAAAAAGGGAGAAGACTCAAATCAACAGAATTAGAAATGAAAAAGGAGAAGTAACAACTGACACTGCAGAAATACAAAGGATCATGAGACATTACTACAAGTAACTATATGCCAATAAAATGGACAACCTGGAAGAAATGGACAAATTCTTAGAAAAGCACAGCCTTCCGAGACTGAACCAGGAAGAAATAGAATATATAAACAGACCAGTCACAAGCACTGAAATTGAAACTGTGATTAAAAATCTTCCAACAAACAAAAGCCCAGGACCAGATGGCTTCACAGGCGAATTCTATCAAACATTTAGAGAAGAGCTAACACCTATCCTTCTCAAACTCTTCCAAAATATAGCAGAGGGAGGAACACTCCCAAACTCATTCTATGAGGCCACCATCACCCTGATACCAAAACAACAGAAAGATGTCACAAAGAAAGAAAACTACAGGTCAATATCACTGAGGAACATAGGTGCAAATATCCTCAACAAAATACTCGCAAATAGAATGCAACAGCACATTAAAAGGATCATACACTGTGATCAAGTGGGGTTTATTCCAGGAATGCAAGGATTCTTCAATACATGCAAATCAATCAGTGTGATACACCATATTAATAAACTGAAGAATAAAATCCATATGATCATGATCATCTCAATAGAGGCAGAAAAACCTTTCAACAAAATTCAACACCCATTTATGATAAAAAGCCTCCAGAAAGTAGGCATGGAGGGAACTTACCTCAACATAATAAAGGCCATATATGACAAACTCACAGCCAACATCTCCTCAATGGTGAAAAACTGAAACCATTTCCACTAAGATCAGGAACAAGACAAGGTTGCCCACTCTCACCACTATTATTCAACATATTTTTGGAAGTTTTAGCCACAGCAATCAGAGAAGAAAAAGAAATAAAAGGAATCCAAATTGGAAAAGAAGAAGTAAAGCAGTCACTGTTTGCAGATGACATGATACTATACATAGAGAATCCTAAAGATGCTACCAGAAAAGTACTAGAGTTAATCAATGAATTTGGTAAAGTAGCAGGATACAAAATTAATGCACACAAATCTCTTTCATTCCTATACATTAATGATGAAAAATCTGAAAGTGAAATTAAGGAAACACTCTCATTTACCATTGCAACAAAAAGAATAGAATACCTAGGAATAAACCTACCTAAGGAGACAAAAGACCTGTATGCAGAAAAGTATAAGACACTGATGAAAGAAATTAAAGATGATACAAACAGATGGAGAGATATACCATGTTCCTGGACTGGAAGAATGAACATTGTGAAAATGACTATAGTACCCAAAGCAATCTACAGATTCAATGCAATCCCTATCAAACTACCAATGGCATTTTTCAGACCTAGAACAAACCTAGAACAAAAAATTTCACAATTTGTATGGCAACACAAAAGACTGCGAATAGTCAAAGCAACCTTGAGAAAGAAAAACAGAGCTGGAGCAATCAGGCTCCCTGTTTTCAGACTATACTACAAAGGTACAGTAATCAACACAGTATGGTACCGGCACAAAAACAGAAATGTAAATCAATGGAACAGGATAGAAAGCCCAGAGATAAACCCACGCACCTATGGTCACCTAATTTTTGGTAAAGGAGGCAAGAATATACAATGGAGAAAAGACAGCCTCTTCAATAAGTGGTGCTGGGAAAACTGGACAGCTACATGTAAAAGAATGAAATTAGAACACTCCCTAACACCATACACAAAAATAAACTCAAAATGGATTAAAGACCTAAATGTAAGGCCAGACACTATTAAACTCTTAGAGGAAAACATAGGCAGAACACTTTATGACATAAATCACAGCAAGATCCTTTTTGACCCACCTCCTAGAGAAATGGAAATTAAAACAAAAATAAACAAATGGGACCTAATGTAACTTAAAAGCTTTCGCACAGCAAATGAAACCATAAACAAGACCAAAAGACAACCCTCAGAATGGGAGAACATATTTGCCAATGAAGCAACTGACAAAGGATTAATCTCCAAAATTTACAACCAGCTCATGCAACTCAACATCAAAAATACAAACAACCCAATCAAAAATGGGCAGAAGACCTAAATAGACATCTCTCCAAAGAAGATATACAGATTGCCAACAAACACATGAAAGAATGCTCAACATCATTAATCATTAGAGAAATGCAAATCAAAACTACAATGAGATATCATCTCACACCAGTCAGAATGGCCATGATCAAAAAATGTACAAACAATAAATGCTGGAGAGGGTGTGGAGAAAAGGGAACGCTCTTGCACTGTTGGTGGGAATGTAAATTGATACAGCCACTGTGGAGAACAGTATGGAGGTTTGTCAAAAAAGTAAAAATAGGACTACCATATGACCCAGCAATCCCACTAGGCATATACCCTGAGAAAATCATAATTCAAAAAGAGTCATGTACCACAATGTTCATTGCAGCTCTGTTTACAATAGCCAGGACATGGAAGCAACCTAAGTGTCCATCGACAGATTAATGGATTAAGAAGATGTGGCACATACATACAATGGAACATTACCCTGCCATAAAAAGAAATGAAATTGTGTTATTTGTAGTGAGGTGGATGGACCTAGAGTCAGTCATACAGAGTGAAGTAAGTCAGAAAGAGAAAAACATATACTGTATGCTAACACATATATATGGAATCAAAAAAAAATGGTCATGAAGAACCTATGGGCAGGATGGGAATAAAGACGCAGACCTACTAGAGAATGGACTTGAGGACATAGGGAGGGGGAAGAGTAAGCTGGGACAATGTGAGAGAGTGGCATGGACATGTATACACTACCCATTGTAAATCCTATAGCTAGTGGGAAGCAGCCGCATAGCACAGGGAGATCAGCCTGGTGTCTTGTCACCACCTAGAGGGGTGGGATAGGTATGGTGGGAGGGAGGGAGACACAAGAGGGAAGAGATATGGGAACATATGTATATGTATAGCTGATTCACTTTGTTATAAAGCAGAAGCAAACACACCATTGTAAAGCAATTATACTCCAATAAAGATGTTAAAAAAAAAGTCTGAAGGAAATCTGGAAAATAACTCTTGTTGAATCTAGATGGTAAGCTCATGGTTGCTTATCATCAAAACACCTCTGTTTTTATTTTTCTGCATTTCTAAAACATTTCATAATAAAAATAACAACAATCTTGTGCTCTACTCAAAACACAGTTTTAAAGAAAAACTGTATTATAGGAAACTCTGACGAGTAAGAATATTGAAAATATAAATGAACACCACAGCAATGCTAACCTCAATTTTATATAGATGCATATATATTTATGTGTGTGTGTGTGTGTGTGTGT